TACTAGAATCATATTATAATAAATACACAAAGTATTACAACAAATCTTTTTTTTTATTAAAACCGGAAAACCCTCGAATTTTAACTTATTTTGTACAACGTGCAATCGTGATTAAATTAACTTTTATAGCATTTATTGCATGCCATTTAAAAAAATTTAAAAAGTTAACATAGCATATAAAAGGATCAACCTTCCGTACCCCCCTATATAGCATAGCTTTGCTCAACTTGTGGAGATGCCGGAGGGAGGTGGTGGGTTTTTTAAATTCTCGATTTATTGCACGTTGTTTTCTTGGCGTCTGCCTGTGTGGTCCAACGCTTTTGTCACAATTTTACAGCTAACTCTCACCCTTTATATGTAGAGAGACCGGGTACTGGGAAACATCAAGGGCCTGGAAATGCAGGTTAACTATTCTTCTCCATTCATGTTTTACATGATCAAAAGAGCTGTAGCTAAAGTGTTGTTTTTTGAGATGAAGTAACTCTATAAATCTAGGCCTTACTCTTTATTTAAAAGTGGTCTCATTTTGAACACAGTCGAAATCTTATGAGCATTATATGCTGCTTTTATAACGCTGAGTTGCGTGAGCTATAAGACCAAAGCTTAGCGGTTATGAACTAGAGTATGATTAATGGGTTTGTATTACAACTGCAAAAACTTTGTAGAATGGATTTTTGGAGTTATTATAACCATAAAATCAAGGTTTAAGTTCTGTAATTTTCTAATTCTTATTAATTGAGTATAATTCATCTTATGGTGGTATGTATAACAGGTGGATGGCCATCCACGAATAAGGGTTCCACAAGTGGTGGAGGACGCAGCAATAACCCTCCGAGAAACAAGTGATTTTGCTTAGTGAAGCACGTTTGATACTCATGCTGAAGGGTATTTTATTAATAAAATTTTTATGAGGGTTTTCTTGATTAAATTGTTTACCAGCTTATAAACGTTTTTAAACTTTTACAGGAAGATCTTTACAATATAAATTTAACTAATTGTGGATGCGTAATGCAGTTGTTGATAAACCAAGTGCTTGTGTTTCTAGGATCTAGAGGGTTTCTAATGAGGGGTCTTGTAGAGTTCTAGATTAACTTAACAGCGAATAAAATTGAAGCAAAATTTTTAAATTTTAGCGAATATAGTCACTGTTTTGGTAAAAAATTATAATTTTTAGATGATAGATTAAAGTACAAGGGAGTAAAGATAAGAATTTATTGACAAATATATAAAGCATCAAGTTGTAATTTTAATTAAAAAAAAAGTATAGAGTTTTTGATGTTTTGAAGTTCTTAAGACTCACCTATATAGGATAAGGCTTTTAACCAAAACAAGGTTAAATAATTTAGTGAACTTAAAACTATGATTTGATATCAAGTCAGATTGGTTGGAATTTTTCCTACCAGTTTGAATAAAAAAGTTCTAAAACTCCTTGTTAAAAGTATTATAGATTACCTAACCTACTAAAGGCCTCCGCCGAAAAAAAAACGAGGTACAAGGGGCCAGCATTTAGAAAGAGTAAGCTTTTTACTTTATTATAAAATTAGGGTTTTAATACATGCACATGATAGTAATCCTACTAGATTTTTACCTCCAATGTAAACGCATTAATTAAGCAAAATGTAAAAACAAAAATCCAAATATGTAAACTGCGTGTTTTTCATTTTACCACTTCTGAGCAAGAGGAAGGGTTTTTTTTAACACCCATATTGAACAGGTGTCACTACAACATTTACAAATTCAACCCGCAGAAAAGATGAAGGGTCTTATTCCTCATAAGCAAAGTGACAAACTATGGACACTTTAACAGCGCCCTCAAGAATTTACCTAACCAATGATAGGCGTCAAAGAAGGAAAGCTTTTTTGCTGATACTAAAACATTCGTGTGAGAAGGCAGCTCTTTCCGTACTAAAAAAGGTTGGGCGCAAAGCGAAAGGCAAACGTTGAAGAAGCGAAAAATATAAACTTTTCCATAACGGTTTACTAAACGCCATCCCAAAATAAAGAGAAAGCGGTACAGGAGTGAACAGATCTTTAATTCCTAAAAATGGCTTAAAGAGGTTTGACACTTTTAAATCGCCTAAGACACATCCTGGGAAAAATTAGAAATTTCTACCGGAATGAAAAATTGTGCAAGCAGAATTAGATTCAACCAAAGTATTTTTTTGAATAACTTTAGGAGTTATGAACGATTCAAAGTATTTAATACAATTGGATAATATAATCTTGCCTTCGTGGCAACATTCTTAGTATGTGATTGGTGCCGAAACCATTTAAATAATGAAAAAATGTTACCTTAAAGTGAACTTATATAACAAACAAGGAATACTTCATTTCAGTAAAAGTAAGACCCTAAATTTTTATGATAATGTAAGAAAGTTGCCTAAGAATTACGTGATAAGAGCATCACATGACTTTAAAAAATTTTCGAGTTAGCTAAACTTCAACTAAAAAGACTTTCAAAGATGCGAATCAGATATTTAACCGTTAGATGCGCGTGTAAACTGTAACCGGTAACAGCTAGCATCCTTTTTTTTTTTTTTGATATTCGGAACTGTTTATTCCTTGTTATTTTAAAAGTTATTATTATTATTATTATTATTAATTTTAACTGTCCTTGGTGTAGAAGGGCTAGAAGTGTTTAACGAAGCGCTTACGGTGTCAGAAATTAAATATTGCTTTTACTTCTCGGTGTCCTATATTTCGTGTTTAGTTACCGAGGGACCTGAAGTGACATTAGTTAGTCTCTATTATCGCACGTAATTTTCCAGAAGTTTTTTCATGTAATAAAGTATTTGTTTTTATTACATTATGATCACGGGTTGTTGCCGCATTTATGAAATAAATGTTTTTATAGCAAGGATGTCCCTTTATCTGAGTAACTCGGATTATATGTATATTTGAAATAATTATCAGTGGAGTTCGTATATATCCCAATGCTCAATCATCGGACCTTTCTTTTATAATTATTGTCGTACACTAAAAATTTGCGAACTAAAGGAGTGTATGGTCCTAAGTTCCGGTATATTTTGTTTACTTGCTACCATTTTAAAGTTAAGATACTGAAAACCTGTTCGTTTAGTTACTTTTTCCTATTAAAACATAAAGAGCATATAGAGATTGGGTTAGTCAAATACTTTGATACAAAAGCACTGAAAAACGCATATTTTGTTTAAAATAATGAACCCTAAAACTTACAGGTTAAAGATTAACTACATTTAAAAGCGAGTAAATGTTTAACCACAAATTATATAAAAAACCTAACCACTTTTACAAGTCTGCTATGGGCAATTCAAGGTGAGAGCTTTAATACTGACAGTATATTGACGGACCTTTGCTCAACGGAATATATAACAGCAGGCATGTCGAAATTTAAGTAGGGCCCGCTATCTTATTTCATTCAAGTAAATCTTGAGCTTTTGATTAGTCTAAAAATACCAAACATTATCGCTAATGTTAAAAGATTACAAAACCCTACCCTAGAGGTCCTAAATAAGTCTGTTTTTCGCGTAAGTCATGGAGGCTGTTCTTCTGCGTCCGACATCGTCATTGTGCAGGCAAAAAATAGTAGGCTCATCAGACCGGTGGTCATGTCATCATGTTACCCTCTATAACTCACGTCCTCATTTGGTCTAAAGCTACTGCAACTCCACTGTGTTACTGAAATGGTTAAACCGCTCTTGAATAGTTAATGTTTGTATGGAACCTTTAATCGGTTGGTCTTAATGAGCTAATTTAATTTTAAAAAAAAAAAAAATTTATATGTATATTTTCTAACGATTATTTTGGGTACTTACAAAAATACTTTATTTGCAAACATACTGAAAGCTATAGAATTTTGAAGCCATTTAAATTTTTAACATTAATGAGTTTGATCACTCCAAGACATAAACTTAGTACGTTCGCATAGGCATTTGGTTAATGTAACACACATTCCAATATTTACTTTTTTATTTTGTGGTAGTTTATAGTGAGACTAATTTATTATTCTATACCAAATTTTAGAATTGTTAATGCTTTATTATTAATTTGTAGAAATTAATACTAAATGGAAAAGAACCTTTACTTTGTTAATTATAGTATTAAAGGCCGTTTTTTAAAATTCGCGTATCAGGAATACTGATATAAATATTAAAAAGATCTTTTAAAACAAGATTTAGCTTCTTCATTATGGATTACTAAACCTTGTTTTACCATTTACAAAGGTATAGATTTAAAACTGGTCAACTTAATGCATGGCCGAGCCTCAAATTTGTGAGCTGCTATGTAATGGACTAGCAGGTGCCCTAATAAGGTCAAAGTGACTAAAAATTTTAAAAAAATTAAGAACTGCGCTAGAGTAAGGAGCTACAACGGTCTATTTGTGTTTTTCCAAAAATCTTGACTGACAAAATGGTGCTACTTGAATAGCTCTAGCATTATTCTACTAGGAATTGTAACCAAACTCGAGGTTGAATAAAATAAAATGCGTTATAACTGCTTGTTAACGCCTTCTACCTATAATAATGTATTACGTCTTTGTTCTCAATTATTAATATATAAGCAAAAGGCTTACTAAAACTTATTGTGTAAGTTCTGATATATATATATATATCTTATTAAAACAGTAGCAGAGAGCATACTTTTAGGTGGATAAATATGTTGCACTATATTAGAAAGCCAATTATAATAAAAATAAAAGAAGGTACAGGTTAAAAATTTTGATAACAAAGGCACCTACAATGTAGTGGAACAAAGTTGTTTTTATTTTTAATTTTTTTTCAAAATTATATGAACGCTACAATTTTACCAAATAAAAATTAAGCGTTATGAGGATAATAACCGTAAGTTAAAAAATTTGGATTATCTTTATTAAGTGGTTTTAACTGGAGGCCCTAAGCAAAGAGTCTTAAAAAAAAAAAAAAATATGTACATGCATTCACTTGAAGAATGGTATACATTGGTAATTATTGATCCGCCTTTATTTCCTCATTCTATAATTTTTAGACCTTCCATAATGACTCTATATTTTTTTCTTTTCATTTTAGCGTTTCTTTCGAAGAGAGTTATTGCTTTACGTTCTTGTTTAAATTTTACAAGTGACCACCTCATGTATGTGAACCATTTGACTTTATTTTACTATATATTACATGGAAAATGATCGCAAATTAGAGTATTTGCAAAGGCTTTATTGTTCATTTTGTTGTAACTACTTTGTACGATATTTCGCAATATCCGCCCAGCAAATTTTACAAGTTTCATAACTAAAGTAGAGTTCTCTTTTCAAGGCCGAAACTTTTACAACATTATTAAAAAAAATAATTTTTTTTCCTTATCAACGATATATCGTTAATAATAGCACCATGCGACGATGTTCATTAACATTTTACCCACCGGATAATCAAATTCTTTCTCCATCCTTGAAATCTGTGTAAACTTTTCATTAAATATTATTTTCAGCCTGTTCTATTATCTATTTCAATTATCTTTTTTTTATTGTTATTATTTTTAACGTTGGCTTTTTGAAACATACTTATAAGCTTTGTTTACTATAACTAGATAAGAGCATTTTTTACTTAATTTCATAATAACACCACAAATAACACTGCTTTTTACCATAGGAGCCTTCGGGGAAATAAAATAACTTATCTTTCCTCGGAAGCATTTGCCCATCTTACTTTGCTCATATCTCTGTAAATGTTAACGTCATTTTCAATATTACTGTGTTTCTAGTTATTTTTTTCTCTTTAGCGATTTAGGGGAAAACAAGATTCCGTGGATTGACAGCTATGTTTTTTCAGACCTTAAGAACCTTGAATACTTGTAATTATATAGTAGCTTAGTTTAATTGTGAGCTATTCGGATAATATAAAAAAATTTTGAGTAATAAAATCACATCGGAGCAGGGTAGGAGTGAGGTACTCATGTTTTAGCGGATTGGTTTTTCGTAGTGAGGTTTTTCCACCCTTGCCTTCGTTAATTATATACATTAGTTTTTTTTTGTAAGCGGTTACTTTCTGGTTACTCTTTGTAAAACGCCTAATTAATTATGCTTCTTTTATTATGGTTTATTAATTCCCGAGAAATACCGCTTTTTAACCACGTTATATTTGGAATCTTCCTCACTGCCAACTGGCTATGCCATGTGCTCATACCACGCGGTTTTATAGTACCGTGTGCTCTTCCCGCGAATATAGTCACGTGTTACGCATATGCACGTGTTTTGTCCCGCATTCGATTTTCTCTTTTCTACCCCTCCTTAGTGAATATGATAGGTTGATGGCTCCTCCTCTTGTACTCCATCCTATGACACAGTCGCATTGCTAATATTATTTTTAATTAAAGTAATCTACTATTTTTTAGAATTCTTGAAAACAATAAAATAACCTCAATAAGTGATGATGCGTTCAGAAATTTAATAAATTTAAAATATTTGTAAGTTTATTGAATTAAACAGTTATTTTTATTTTTTATTTTTTAATATTTGTTCATGAAAGAGGCTTACTAAAATTTTTTCCCATAAGAAATTTTATCGAAGTTTATATAATAGTTGCGTTTATTTTAGCATTATTATACAAAGGACTAAGGATAAAACTATTAATTTTATAAATATCATGATTTATTAAATATAGATTAATGCACGCTAACCCTCTCAAATCGATTAAACCCATCTGGTTTAGGAAGCTTGTTAGTCTTCAATATTTGTAAGTGTCTAATATTCTTTTCATCGTTTAAGAATTTTTTAATACATCATTGAACAAAAATGCTACTGTTGCATAAATTGTAATTAGTTTTACTTAATTTTGATACATGGCGTACAGAGATCTTTCTGGAACTCGTCTCAAAGTTGTTCCCCCAACCTCTTTTAGCAAACTTAACGCATTGACTTATTTGTAAAATATTCTTAATAATACTATTTATTATTATAAATATTGTCTCCAAAATGAAACTTGAAAATTAAAGATAATACAATAGAGATCTGCGGCTTAATAAAATTAAAAATATTGGACATGACGCTTTTAATGAATCTTTAAAGAGGATGTAAGTAATTGTTTGATAAAATTTTGATTTAACTTAAGACTTTAATTGCTACAGTGATATTACGCTCGATCATACTATTCATTGTTGCTCGCGTATTCATTATCAAAATAAGCTTTTATTTTACAACGACCAATGTACTTATAAAGAAAAATTACTATCGGTTAAGAACTTTAACAATGAATCATGCACTAATTGGTTACTAAAAGAACCAACACTGCCAGTTCGTTAAGGTAGTGCAGTTTATAAAAAACCTCTGTTACTTTATATAAAATCAGTACTAGCTTATTTATTGAAACTTCTTACTTTTTTAAGATGAAACTAAAAATAACCGTTATTTTTCCTTATCTTTGATAGGGACTTGGTAGGCACATAATGTGTTTTACTTTGAACTACTACCATAATAAATAAAAAAGCTATTTGTAATTAATCTCAATGTTAGTCAAAACGTTATATTAATCATCCTTCTTCCCGACACCACATATTATATGTTTGCCATGTTAACGCTACTTTTATTTTGACTACCCCGCTGGTCATGGTAAGGCAGCTTTAAAGTGTAGTATTATAGTCCGAATTTGTACTGTTAATGATAGTAAAATATCTCCGAAGATGCTTAAGGTGAAAGTCATTTATTTAATTTAAGGGCGAGTTAGTATTTTAATTGTGTTAGTACAAGGGTTACAAATACACCTTAATTATAAAAGAGGGGCACCATATTTATACATGAAGCCAAAGGGCATAAACGGCATGTCTTTCTAGAATGTATTTATCTTTTATTTTTAAACCCTGGCATACTAATGTCCAAATTTAGAAGCGCTTTAAACTATCTAATTTAGCCCTTAGGAGGTTATGGTATTATTTCTCACTGGTGGCTTCTCCCAAAGGGTTATCGTGACTTTCCCAAATAACTGAGGGGTTGCAGAGGCGTATTAGGTCGGGATCAGGGACGTTCACAGGGTATATACTAGTAAATGACTATATTGGTAAAACTGTACTTTCCTAGTACTATATTAGAACGCTACCATTTACGAGAATAAGCACCCTTTAGCTCTCCACAAGGAACTATACAAGTACCCCAGCCCGGTCTTGAGCAAAAAAAGTATGCCAAACCGAGTTAATCTAAGGAACAATTTTCTGAGATAGCTAGAAAGTTTCTCACTATGATACTAATGCAATTTCAGCATAATACCAGCCTACAGTACTATTTTAGAACTGGTTCCAAGCTGATCCTAAACCTCTAGGGATCGATGCAAAGAGTGATATTTAATATTACTAATGATAGCAACCCTCGAAGTTCGGAAGGTAATAAGACAAAAATAAAATAGTTCAAGAGGACACCACAGGCTTTCAGACGCTGCCTATGTACCCAAGATGCAGGCATTGCTACCACTTAGCCTTTAACTACCCAAGGACAAAAGATCAACCTACACTGCTGTTCAAGAAGAAAACGGATCCGTTAGACCATAATATCAATGGCGATTTGGTTATGGAGAGACCATCTCTTAATCTAACGGGTAAGATGTAGACCATTTCTAGCCTAATACTAGTCGGCATGATCCTTAATGAACTGAGAAATGGAAAGATCTCAAGTGCTTGTGTTTTCTTATTTTTAAAAGCAAGTTCGTCGACCGTGGCGGATTATTAACCTTGGATTAGACCATTCTTCCCTAGGACCCTCCAAGGAGCACTGTAATCCTGATCAGCACGCTAACGCCATACATGCGTTACAGTGTTTGATCCTTTACTTGGAAATAGAATTATTAATTAGAGAGCCTACCGTATAATTCCAGTGCCAGCCGAGTGAAGCAGTTCGACGTAAGGGGCTATTAACCAGTACCTTTCAGCATAGTAACTACATTTAACGTGCAGTCTTCCGTTGGATGGAAAAGATAACTGACAGGTGCCGCGTCCTCGGGGGGAGTTTGAAGTCAGCCATTTGGAACTAGAGGTAGAATCCAACGAAGCATTTTTACTATAGGGCGGAACTTTTTTGGTCGTTTAATAACAGTAACCTGGCGGGGGGTTGAGTGTCTAACGTTGAAGGAAAGCAGGCAGGATAGCTAAGAGCCAGGTCACCCAGATAGAGGCCAACTAGCACGGCCTGAGGTGTAGCCCTAATCTTTCTACCTACATAAATTTAACTTAAGACTAAATAAAATAGTCTAGATCGCTTTGTCTACATGGCAGTGAACGAGAAAGACGAGCGTTGAAGGTGTTGAAAAAAAAGAAAACGGTGGCACATGGGGGGGCATTGAGAAAGGAAGTCTCCACTCTCTTTATGTTTTTTGGAGGGCTTAATTATTAAGATAGCTCCTTTGGAGTGGGAAAATGGTGTTCTTACCGAGGCTAGTTGATGATTCCTTTCAAGTTGAGATAAAGATGCTAGACTTTAAGATATTAACTTTTTTATATAAATTTCGAGATTAAAATTTTTAGAAATATTTTACCTTTTAATATTTTTTAAATAATCTATTATTTGAAACTGGTGATACCTGGCACATCCTTATTATATATAGAACCGAAATTCTAAGTGGTCATTGAGGGGGTGGGGGCTAAGGAGCGTGGACCCGATGGTTGGTACACTGGCTTTTTTTGCGAGTTTTTGATTGATGTGCTGAAGAAGCCATAGGTCCTTCATTGATGGTGTAGCAATGGATGTAAAGTAACGTTATGGAATAATACACGGGGCGTCCGTCCTCAGGAGTGGGCAGGCTGTGTTGAGTGTAGTGCAGTGAAGGGGCTACTTTTAATGAGTGATTGGTTTAGACAGCAGGTGCGTATGTTATGATTGGCCGGGGGCACAAGGCATACTAGCGTGGCAGGATAGCTTGGTTGTGGGTCAAAGTAAAGGATATGGAAGCTCTATTGGCGATAGAGTTTAGGAGCGGTCACCAGAGGTGCTTATAAAAGTTAATATCAACAAAAAAAAAAGTAATCATATATATTAAGATTAAATTTTAAGTAATACTAATTTAAAAAAACAGAATTTATATAAAACATTTTACTTGGTAAGTACTTATAAAAGTGTAATAATAATAAAAAGAGAATTATTTAAAAAAAATATAAATGTTTACATAGTAAATATATATGAATTAATATGGTAGAAATAGAAAAAAGTAAATAGGAATAATCTATATATAATAAATATGCATAAAATATTCGAAAGGAGTAATATAAACCCCATAATAATAAATAAAGGATATACGAATATAATATGTTAGAAAAAAAGTTATTACTACGCACAAGTCTATAAATAAAAAATAAAATTTACCTCATATTTTCACATGTTTTTAAAACCTTTTTTTTTTTTAGAAAAAAACTTAGGTCAAACATTTTTTAATTTTTTCAGTTCTGGCTCTCAGCATGTAATGAAAAAGTTAACTGTAGCTCCAATAGATTCAATGTTTCATTAAAGAGGAGAAAACTAATTTTTTGGATCGTAGAGCTGTAATAAAGACAACGCCTCGTTTATACGGCCGTTTTTTTGAGAAATCGAAAGTAACATAGAACTTATTATTCTGTACTAGCAAGTCTCACCCACATCTCAGCAGAGGACAACAGGCTCTGCTTGATTACCTACTAGAATAGAATACTTTTACACGACAAGAAAATGTACGGCGAGCAGCTCAAAGAGGGGTTATTTACCTCGCTAATAAAAACTCATAAAGAGCGCCAGCACGAACTGACGAAGATGTTGCCTCTAGCATCAGAGGGAAGATAGCACTTGCTAAAGAACTAAAGCACACAGGAGTTGTTGCCCATGTATAAAGCAGATTTCTGACCAAATTGTATGGCTTCTCGCCGCTCAAGCTAACCCTGAGATCAGAGCTTGGCCTATGAAGATACCATATTTACCGTCCACCTGGAGTTGCCATAAGAGAGGTCAAGTATCAAACCGCGTACAAATCATATTTGGCCAAAAGTAGATACATAAATCAGAGAGCTTATTGGAACATCCTCCATAGCATTGCCAAAGAGTAGAGGGTGACATAAGCTAAAAAAAGATTAGAGTAGGTTCCAAATGTTCTCCACTTGCGAATGGCAACCTTTTAATAGCCCCGGATACGTAATTCAGGGGGAGCTGAAAGGATAACATCTATGTGCGGTACATCCTGAAATGTGGGGATGACCTTTTTCGTGTTTACGATAACGGCCAGAGACATTTTTTATAAATCCATGCTCCGCTGAAGAGTTGCAACATTGAACGAAAACTACCAAGTTAGAATTTAAAGTGAAAACTACGGTCAAGCGCCACCACGAAGTTAGAGCTGCTTAGTCCCCCCCTTCTGGTAGGTCAACCAATATGCTTCCTTGGAAAGGACTTTAAATGATGTCTGACGCCTACATCGCGGTGATGCAATTCAATATAGGAGATGGAACCAATTTCCGCACCAAAAAAGAAAGTAAGAATGAGAAATGCTGCGTGCAGGAGCAGGCGCGCGCATCGAAATACTACCCTTAAAGCTCGTACCTAATTTTACGGATCGGTGAAGGCCTTTAGCTTCAACTTCTATCCAACGAGCTACTTACTTGCTGGGTAAAAAATTACTACAACTTTAGTTCAATAGATGGCCTACAGCCGGCTTTTCTTTCTGCGTAATAACACCATTTTACTTTTAGAAGGCTCATTAATTGACAATTAAGTCCAAGGATGCTAAAATAGTATCAAATCATACTAATGACCTCTGAGTTAATCAAGAGACTTACAGGAAAGCTGCCACAAAGATATAGGGTTTACTAGAAAAAAATGCCATTCCATATGTTCATTATCAAGTACTACACCAAAGTCGTAGTATATATTAGTGATAAACCTTATTTTCAATGCTATGAAAAGCTAAGCGAACTCCTATCCAGCTAAAAAGTATTATTAGAGTCATAGCCACATAGCTATCATTAGCATTAAAGCCTAGTACCGAATTATGCTATTTTAATGAAGCATAATACCAAATTATACTACAAGTCAAGCATAATACTAAGATTTAAGTACCTGTAACGCAGAACCA